GCGTCCCCGGAGCTGCCCCGCGCCCGCTCGCCGCCCCGCGGGGCCGCCATGTCGCTCTGGTGAGTAGGGGACCCCGGGGCGGAGGCCCCGCGCTGTCTCTCCAGCCGCAGCCGGAGCGCACGCGGCGCCGGACCTGGCTGTGCGCCGGGGCTTCCCGGCCTCAGTTTCCCGGGGGGCGTCCCGAGATGCCCGCGCGCCCGGCGGTGGCACCGAGGACCGTGGACTCGGGCCCGGACGCACGGACCCCACTCTCCGAACCTCACCCCGAGACACCCAGATCCTCCTCGGGACCCCGGGGCTGGGGACGCGGGAGGTGCCCCCTAGTTCTACCGACCCGGGCGCTCCGACCCCCGAGGGCCACCCGGCGCTCCTAGGGACCCCGGCCCCCCCACTCTCCTGCCCCCAGAGGAAGCCGCGGCCCGACCCCCGCCCAGCGCTCTCCTCTGCCTCCCCTCGTCCTTCCGCTAACGGGCAGGACAGACAGGTGACCGGGCGGAGGGGCCGCGCTACATCCCGGGGGTGGACCTCCTTGGTCCCTGAACGCGCCGGGCCTTGAGGGGCTTCGCTAAGCCCTAGACCCCGAGCGCCCCGCTCTCCTCCCTGGAAGGGTCCCGCCGTGAGTCACACCCCCTGCGCGCACCTGAGATGACCAGGTCTTCCCCTCCCCGGACACCGGAAACCTTGGGGCCCAGCCTCGCCAGTGGGGCTCAGCCGTACCCCAGCCTGGATGGCTGGACTGAGCTCTCGGACAGCCCGCTTTCCTTGTCTCCTTCCACCGCGCAGCAGCCCTGGAGGTTGAGCGCCTCCCTGCCCTCCGGCGTCTCGCAGGCCACCATCTTCTGGCCTTCCTTTCATGGAAGCCCTGAACCCCAAGTCTGCAGAAAGGACCCCAGGCAACTCCAAGCCCAATAAGTCAGCTGAGGTCAGGGAGCTGGAGGCCAGTGAGGACTCTGATTTCTGCTTCTGGAATTGGCGTTTGGGGGTCACCCGGGCAAGAGTGCCCCTGGACAGTTGGGGGCAGCGTGTGTTTTCTGGGAGGAGGGACAGAGGTCATGCTAGGGGAGGCTGATCCACACCTCTGTGATTATCCCTGAGGACTGACCCATTGTTGAGTCCTTCAGCCCCTGTGGAAGGAGCTCTGGTGGTTCAGTGTAGTGGGTGATGCGTATATAGCTGCTAACCGAAAGGTCTGCTGTTCGAATCCAGCAGGTGCTCTGCAGAGAAGGGTGGGTGGGCAGGCTCCACCAATGTTTACAGCCAGGAAGACCCGATGGACCATGGCTGAGTCAGAACCGTCTGGGCAGCAGCCGCTTTAGAGGTTTGGGTGTGGGCCTCGGAGAGGGGTTCCGGGGTTCCTGTTGTAGAGCACTGTTGAGTCGGAGCTGACCTGTCGTTGACTCTTCAGCGGGTTCTCGGAGTCAGTAAATTGCACAGGAGGCAGTTAGCCACTTTCTCCTGTGGAGCAGCTGGTGGGTCTGAGCCACACAATTCCTTACCACTGGGGTCCTCAGTCCTGGTTCAGAAGAGTACACAGGCCCGAGGAGCCCTTGCTGGGGAGAGTGGATTTTGCACAGAGAAGTGAAAGCAAGTTGGGGTGCCAGGCTCCGTGAGGAATGGTGGAGATCACCAGTAGGAAGGTGTCCCATGGTAACAGTGTCCCCTGGCCACCTGGCCCTGCAGGCAGCCCCCTACTCCAAGGTGGCCTTTTCCAATTTGGGGAAGAAAACCCTGCAGCTTGGAGAGGTTAAGTGTCATTCACTCCAAGTCACTCAGCTTCTAAGTGGCAGGATCAGGTTTGAACCCCAGCCGCCTGAATCCTCAGACTGCCTGCTTAAGCTGTGTGCTGTGCGGCCGCTTGGCCCTGGGGGAGGGATGCTGTGGTCCAGGAATCAAGACCCTCCTGCAGTCAGGAGCCCCTGAGCGTGGGTGTGTGCCAGGGTCCACGTGGGTGCCAGCGTGGGTGCCTAGGGCTGGCGGGAGAGTCCGGGTTCGATCTTCACTTCTCTCCTCTGCCTCCCAGGAAGAGAACGGTCTACAGGAGTGTGTGCCTGTCCCTGGCCCTGCTGGTGGCTGTCACAGTGTTTCAGCGCAGCCTCACCCCCGGCCAGTTTCTGCAGGCGCACCCACCCCGGGCACTGGAGCAGAGTGGGCGCCTCGTGAATCCCAACAGCTTCTGGAAGAGCCCCAAGGAAGAGGCCCTTCCGACCCCCACCAGCCTGCAGGAGCTGCAGGCCTGGGACGTGACCACTACCAACTGCTCAGCCAATGTCAACCTGACCCACCAGACCTGGTTCCAGAGCCTGGAGCCCCACTTCCGGCAGTTCCTGCTCTACCGTCACTGCCGATACTTCCCCATGCTGTTGAGCCACCCGGAGAAGTGCCAGGGCGACGTGTACCTGCTGGTGGTCGTCAAGTCGGTCATCACACAGCACGACCGCCGCGAGGCCATCCGGCAGACCTGGGGCCGCGAGCAGGAGGCGGTGGCCGGGGGCCGCGGCGCCGTGCGGACGCTGTTCCTGCTGGGCACGGCCTCCAAGCAGGAGGAGCGTGCCCACTACCAGCAGCTCCTGGCCTACGAGGACCGGCTGTACGGCGACATCCTGCAGTGGGACTTCCTGGACAGCTTCTTCAACCTGACCCTCAAGGAGATCCACTTCCTCAAGTGGCTGGACATCTTCTGCCCCCACGTCCGCTTCGTCTTCAAAGGGGATGACGACGTCTTTGTCAACCCCGCCAACCTGCTAGAGTTCCTGGCTGACCAGCAGCCCCACGAGGACCTGTTTGTGGGGGACGTCCTGCAGCACGCACGGCCCATCCGCAAGAAGGACAACAAATACTACATCCCCAGCGCCCTCTATGCCAAGGCCACCTACCCGCCCTACGCCGGCGGCGGCGGCTTCCTCATGGCCGGCGGCCTGGCCCGCCGCCTCTACCGTGCCTGCGACACCCTAGAGCTGTACCCCATTGACGACGTCTTCCTGGGCATGTGCCTGGAGGTGCTGGACGTGCGGCCGGTGGCCCACGAGGGCTTCAAGACCTTCGGCATCTCCAGGAACCGCAACAGCCGCATGAACAAGGAGCCCTGCTTCTTCCGTTCCATGCTGGTGGTGCACAAGCTGCTGCCCGCCGAGCTGCTGGCCATGTGGGGGCTGGTGCACGGCAACCTCACCTGCTCGCGCAAACTCCAGGTGCTCTGAGCCCCAGGTGCTCTGAGCCCCGCCGGCCCGAGGGGCCCCCGCCGGCCCGAGGGGCCCGCACCTGCGCACTGGGCCCAGGCCCGTGAGGTGGTGGGTCTGCTGGCCAGCCTGGGAGGTGGTGGGGCACAGGTGCAGACACTTGTGGAAAGTGAGGCTGAGCCCGGACCCAACCCAGACTGCAAGGAGGACCTTAGTGAGGGGGCAGCCCCTCTCCTGGGCTCTCTGACCTCGTGCTCAGGTCTCTGGCCTGGGCCTGACCCCATGCCTCCTCTCCAAGAGTTTCCTTCTCCCAGGGATAACTCAGTCTCCACGCGGGGCCCAGGCTCAGCCCTGTGCAGGATCACAGGCCCCTAGAACCCATGTCCCCAGGTCCCGGGCACACTTGTCTCTGCTCCTGGCTATGAGCTCAGAAGTTCGCCTATCTCCAGAAGGCATGACAGCCTCTCTGACTACCTCAGACCCTCGGGCCGTCTGCACCCTGCCCTTCCACACCCTGACGCCGGGCAGAAGAGCCGAGCTCTGACTCCCGAAGCCCAGGACCCCATCTCCCAGTCCATCTGCGTCCTCTCAGGCCCAGTGCCCTGGCTGCAAACTCTCTGGTTTGGCCTGGAAGTAGACAGCTGGACTCACTGTGAAGTTTTATTTATAAAACATTTGGAAGAAGAAGGTTCCAGGCCACAGGAGGTGGTGGCCATCTCCCTCGCTGACCAGCCCCACGGTACCCCCTGTCCACTCACCCCTCCAGAGCACTCCCCTGCCTGCACCCCCACTTCTCCAGGGCCCAGGTATACCAGCATTTGCCTTAAAAGGGATGACGTGGCCTGTGAAGGCCCCCCCCCCAGCCAGGCCGGGGTTCATGGGGGTGGGTGCAGAAGAAAGCCACCTCCTACCTCACTGTAGGGTCACCTGGTGAAGACCTTGGGAACCTCTATTTCTCAATAAAAGGGGACTGTTTTTTTCTGGTGGATACAGGTTTCTCTGTCTCCCAAATGAGGTCCCACACCTGAAGAGCCCCCTTGTTCCTGGCTAGGGGTGCCCAAGAAGCCGGTAAGGAGGGCTTCTGACAAGGCTCTCTCTCTGTGTCTCACTGTCGCGGGATAACTGACTCCCGTTTTCTGAGCTGTGAGTCATGTGGAAAGGGATTGATTGCCCGGCTTCCTCCCAGACTCCCTGGTGGATTCGAACCAGCAGAGGGGGCACTGCCTACAGGTTAGTAACACAGCTCCCTGCAGGGCAAGGTCCTAGGGAGATAGTCAAGTGGAGGCCACAGGCCAGGGCAAGGGAGGTTCCCTGTGACTTCTCCCCCCGGTGGACAGCTGTCCCCTGGACCTCCCCAGCATCCCACAGGGCCCACGGTGATGGGAGGGGACCACGCATCCTCATGTCACAGGTACGACCTAGGTCATACCAGACTCCCTGGTGGGGTGAATTCTGACTCAACTGACTCTCAGATCAGACCAGACCCCCAGAAGGTTCCCAAAAGGCTATGAATCTTGAGTGCCACGTTCTCCCACAAAGCGGCTTGCAGATTCAGACTCCCAACACTTTAGTGAGCATCCTAACACTTTAACCACTGCTCCACCAGCACCGTTTGGGTTCACGGGAAGAGGTACTTGTGGTTGATGGGATGTGATGTGGCTGGTCCAGGGCTGGGAGGGGAGCGCCCTCTGCTGGGCACCGTGGTCTGAGCAGCTCACCTCCAGGTAGATGTGGACAGTTACCCCAGAGCCTATGCCCAGGGCGTACCCCGCAGTGAGTCAGACTCCCCCAGAGCTGCCGGCATGTGCCCTGCGCCCCTCCCCGGGTGAGGAATGGGAGTGGCGGGGTTCTTACGAAAAGATTTATTTGCTCTCCAGACAAAACGCCTTGAGATTCACTGCTTGGACCCACGCCCTCTGAGCAGGGGAGGGAAAGAGGACAAAGCTGGTGCTTATTTTACCCTCAGTTAGCAGCTCAGAACCACCAGTTGCTGTGCGGGAGACAGATGTAAACTCCCATCAAGACTCCCGCCGTGGGAACCCCAGGGAGCCGTTCCACTCTGTCCCATAGGGTCGCCGAGGGTCAGAATCCACTCCAGCAGCAGCTTGGGTTTGGTTTCACTTTTAGTGTAAAATGACCAGGTGAGCACCCTTCCAATGCAGGGGGCCCATGACTTCAGAAGTCACCAGTCCCTGGACTCAGGTGGAGCTGGCCGGTCCTGGCTCCCAGGAGCCTGACACTGGCTGCAGGTCGTGGACAGGACAGAGAATGGGACCTCTGCTCCCTGAGCTGTGTGGACAGGGACAGGGAATGTTTTGTACAAAGGGTCAAGAGAGGGAGTTAGTAGAATTGAAAGGAGTGTTGGAGGCTTGAGGGACAGAATGTGTACTAGTCATTGAGGCAGCAGGGGGTGTCTCCATTGGTCTAAATGGAGAAATGTGTTTCCTCCACCCCACCCCCCATCCCAGGCAGCCTTGGGGCAGAAGAGGTGGGGACGGCTGAGATGGCCGAGAGGGATGGGGGGTGGCAGGACGCACAGAGTTGGGGAGGAGGCAGCTGGCGGTGAACCTTGAGAGAGGAATACATGCTTAGCTGGGTGGAAGAGACAAAGCAGCCTGATATGACAGAGGGCAGTGGACAGGGCTCAGCCAGCCGTCCTGGTGAGGAGCAGGTGGCCAGGCCTTGCTGCATTTGGACCTGACTGCCCGCTCTGTCAGGCATCACAGCTTGGAGCACAGTAAGATCAGATGCCCTCCCCCCCAAATCCATATCCACCCTCAGCTCCACCTCCACCAGGAGAAGAAAGCCAGGCCTGGGGCCGGGCAGCGTGACCATGTCAGGCTGGGGCCATGGCCCAGGCTCTCCACCACTGCCACTGGCTCCTTCGCAGGAGAGACACTTCTGGAAAGAGGTTGGTGGCTGCCCACTCTGAGCCAACCTGTCCCAAGAATGTCCTCACCCAGTGAGCGCCACCCTCAGCAGGTCTGGCCTTTCCATCGGCTGGCCCTGGTGACCTGGTTCCAGCCTCGGGCCTGGCTGCCTCTGAAGATGGCCTTGACCTTTCAGAGGTCCATCTCAGATCATCATGGGCAAGAGTAAAGTCATCTGGAATTGCAAAGATGAGAAAGTTCTAGGATTAGAGTTCACCATCTTCCGGTTGTTCCCATTTTATGGAGCACAGAGGCCGTGCCTGGCACTGCCGAGCAGCTAACATGCACAGCCTGCCTCCCACACTGGTACGAATAAGGTGGCGTTCCAGATGTTCTCACTGATTACCGCAGTCCCCCATCTACCATTATTGGTGGAAACTCTGGTCTGGGAACACCTAAATTATCTAGGAAACGTTGAGGGTGTCTTGTCAGGTGCCTTCGAGTCGAGTATGACCCATATTGACCCTGTGAACAGATCTGAATCCTGTCCTGTCCTGTGCCATCCTCCCAGTTTCTGACACACTCAGGCCTGTTGCTGCAGTCACAGTGTCACCCAGCTGAGGGTCTTCCCTTCGCCGACCCTCCACCTTTCCAAGCACGATGCCCCTCTCCAAGGGATAGCCTCTCCTAGCAACAGACCCAAAGAATGTGAGACGAGGCTTCGTTATCTTTGCCTCCAAGAAGCACTCTGGCTGCACTTTCTCCAAGATGTATTTGTTCTTTTGGCATTCCTTGAGATATGCCGTGCTCTTTTCTAACATCATGGTTCAAAGGCACCAACTCATTTTTTGTCATATATAACCAACAAGATAAGGAAGGCTAAAAATCAGGGGCCAATAGAAGGCCAAGTTCAAACAAAGTGATTAAGACCAGACCCTACCCAGTGAACAGAGGACATTGGGCCTAAGCATGTCTGAGGTGCGTAGTAAAGGCTGCCCCCTGCCCCGAAGCAACCTAATTAGCATTTTAGGCACGTGAGAAGCTCATCATGGGACCGGTGATGTTAAGAAGGACAGACCCAAGTAAAAACTGTCCACCAAACTCTGAACATTCTCAACATTACTCCATGGTTCCAAGTTCAAGTCCCAACGCACGTCCAAATGAGGAAGCGACCCCAATGGCATGGAGTCGTAGCCACTTCTTTACTTTCAGAGAAGGGCCTGTCCGTCTCTGTCACTTATATTTTCTAATAAAATGTTCTTTCCTTCCACCTCCACTCCTGCCTCATGCCTTACCTCTCTCTGCTGTGTGCTCTAACGGGCTCAGCCCACACCAACACTGTTGTGAGCAAGATGAAAGCCAAACCAGGCCGACGCCAGGGAATTCAGCCACCACCACGCTTCCAGTCTCCTTCCATTCAGTTCAGTCCTTTATCCAGTCAAGGGGGACCGGAACCAAGGCATTTAGCCCACAACACTCTAAAAAATGAACTCTTTTTCAGACCAAAGTCAAAGTCATTGCCATCAAGTTGGAACCAACCCATAGCTGACCTTCCACAGTGTTCTTGAAGCTGTAAATGTCAGGGAAGGCAACTGCCCAGCCTTCTCCCACGGATTTAACGGTGGATTGGAACCACCAGACTGGAACCCTTTGGATTAGCAGCTGACCTCACAGTGGATTACATCACCAGAGCTCCCTTGTCCAGAGTGGTACTTAAAATACTGAGGAGGAAAAGAGTTGTGTTTCAGTGAAGAACTGGGCATTGTTTACTACACACACCCCCCACATGCACACCCACACACACACACCAGGACTGCAGATCAGATTATTTGATTGTAAGTCTTCGTAAACTGCAGGTCTTGGTGGCTATACACTCTATCTGGTCCCTCAAAGTTCCAGTGGACGCCTCTCCCCCTGAGGAAAAACCAGTTTTGCTCAATTTGCAATTCAATTCCTTTGCTCCTGTTAAACCCATGCTCCCAATGCGACCTATGGCCCTGGAAGCATCCACTCACCTATTTGCATCATCCCTGTGAAATAAACCTGTTCCTTCTCATGTGTCTGTTGTGAATGTACCTTTCTCTGAAAATTATTTTTTAAACTTTGTCTTAATTGTTTTTATTGTCAAAAGAATGCAGGTAGAATGTATCT